ATGTCGTGGTGTTTCGCAAGTATGGTGGTACAAGGGATACATATCTTTTTCCTGGGATCGTGTTTAGGAGTAAGACGGCTACGCGTGCAGCAATTTTCAGAGTGCGCCGTTTGCGGGTCCCCAGGGTCGAACGCGGATATTGAAACAGATGCAGCGACCCCGAGCTTCCCCCAGTACGGCGAGGTTGGAGATTGAGTAACTAGATGTCGCGGGCTGATTGGGAAACACGAGAAACTGCAACGAGTGATCAAGAAGAGGTGCAAGGAGTGCCAATAGATCCATTCCCGGTGAATGTCAGTGGTATATGGTATGGTATGCCAATGGTTGGGCAGACTACGTTCGCCCCGATCGAGTTGGGCGCGGTTAGCCTGCAGTGGAGGCAGCCGAAAAGTAAGGACGATTGAGAACGAGGGCAGGAGTCGGATAAATCTCTTACCTGCCTTTCTAACGCACCATCGCACCCTGTACTGGAGGATCTTACTTCCACCCTTCGAACATTTCCTTCCCGTTGAACAGGGTGAACACGAATAATTTTCTTCATGCGGTCAAAGTGATGGGAAGCTAAGCCAGCTACCTCCAGAATTGAAAGCGCAGTGTGCCACGACTGACGGCATATCGGTTACTTCAGTAGGAAACAGCCAGAGAAGTTGAAGCGGATTCGACGAGGTTCGGCTAACGCCGACCCGACCCAACCATCCGCAATGACGTCCTGCTCGAGGTGTGGGACTCCACTTATGCCACATCTTCGGTTCTGACAATGCCTTGCTTAGACTTGCTAGCTGCTTGTTCTGTAGGATCATCAAGGGTTCGTAGTCTGGCCGTTCCTCCACTCGACACTTGGCTCACGGGCGTGTGCAGGAGAGATCCCGTCTTTAAAGCTCGTCGAGACCGAGAAATCGTGAGTCCACCGGTTATCGGTCATTTCTCGGGGCATGGAAGTTCTCACATCTCACAAAGCTTCTCTTTCCTGGACATCGGCCCCATCGCACGAGGCCATGCTCTCGTGATCCCGAAGTGTGCGCTTGGTTTTTCGATCACCCGCGTCCTCAGCACACCTTCATCTCGTTTTCGATAGGGCACGGCGAAAAACTCCACGACGTTCCGGATGAGTATCTCCAGGATTCCCTGATTGTTGCAAAGAAGATCGCGATAGCGTCTGGGTTCGAGAATTACAACATCCTACAGGTGCGGGGCGTCACCCCCGCGCTCTTTTTTAAGGCCCGCTAATATGGCTTATCCCATGTTCAGAACAACGGGAAGATTGCTCACCAGGTGGGTTTAATAGGGGCAGTTGACTGCCGACATCCTTTGGCGAGTGACTAATGCACCCAAGGTGGTTCCTCACGTCCACTTTCATGTTATCCCTAAACCTGCGGATGCCGATGAGAGTGGTCTCGTCATCGGATGGCCAGTCCAGGAAATCCCTAAAGAAGACTTGAAGGCATACCACGAAGAACTCCAGGGGAAATTGTAAGTCTTGTCGGCAAGAGGGAGAGCTGCAGTAATAGAGATCCGAGTCGCGTCCGCCAGCATGTACATTACATCAACGAGATCATTCCGTGATGCTCCTTGGTCTCATCGACAAGACTGCTTTCACCCCTCAGCGACCTTATTACCATGGTAAACACGCGTCCAACACGATTTTAGATAGGCGGGCCGCGTAGAACGACGGCTGGTTTGTATATCCGATGCTCTAACGAGGTCAGTACATAGTGTACAGGTCAGGAAGCACTTGGATGTTCTACATTTGATATAAACCGTCGAGTGCCCGCTTGCACTCTCCCTCGCTCTCCCTTCCGCATCGCATCCTTTCACTGCTTCCTCGATGCCGATCCCACTCTCCCACACGGACGCCAAAGGTTACACCCAGGCGACGTTCAAGCCATTGCTGGACAAGCTCGTCAAAACTCCGGAATACTTCAATCCCCATGATCTCCAGCTCTCTCTCGAGCACATTTTCACACCGGGATCGATTGATCCCGTCCAAATCGGTGCATTTCTCGCTGCGCTTCACATCTCGCGCCTCGAGAGGAGACCGGAGTCGCTGGCTACTGCCGCGAGTTTGTTAAGGGCCAGAGCAGTCCCTGCAGCTGTCGATCGGGGAGATGAAGATTTCGTGGTGGATATCGTCGGGACGGGGGGAGATGGACATAATACTTTCAATGTCAGCACCACCGCTGCTATAGTCGCTGCAGGTGCAGGGGCAAGAGTAATCAAGGTACGCTCAACGAAAACAATGCAAGGCGACTCTCGAAACCGATCGTGCACCTTGTACAGCACGGCAGTCGGGCCTCGACGTCTTCGTCAGGCTCAGCAGATCTTCTCGAACGTCTCGATTGCCTTTTTGTCCCTCCCACTCCGGGAACCACGATCCCATTCCCCAGGATCCCGTTCCAATTCATCCTCGCGCCGCACTACCACCCCTCCCTAGCCTTCATCGCCCCTCACCGTAAACTCCTCCCATTCCGCACGATGTTCAACATCCTCGGACCGCTAATCAACCCCGCCCAACCGAAAGGAATGGTACTAGGCATCTGCGAACCCGAGCTAGGCACGACGTTCGCTCAGAGCTTACTCGATGGAGGGGTCGAAAAGGCGTTGATCGTGTGCGGGGTCGAGAAGTTGGACGAGATCAGTTGTGCGGGTCCGACTCATGTTTGGGAACTGAACAAAACCGTTGACGGGAAGGGAAAGATTACCGAGTACCTCGTTGATCCCGTAAGCGACTTTGGGTTACCCATCCACCCTTTGGAGGATGTGGCCGGTCATTCTCCTGAAGAGAACGCTAGGGTGTTCACCAGGCTGTTGGATCCAACCCAGCGACTCCCATCTGACGCGGACAAGGAGACGACCAGGAAATACGGCGCGATAACGGATTTTGTGATGATGAACGCTTCGGCCTTGCTGGTCGTGGCCGGGATCGCTGACGACTTCAAGCATGGGGTCGAGTTGGCGAGGGAGAGCATCACTAGCGGGAAGGCGTGGGAGGCCTTACAGACCTTCAAGGAATACCAGCACCTACAGAGACCAACAGAGTAAATCGTGATACAGTTTCAATGTCGTAGTTATTGTGCCTACTGCGTATCGTTGACACACAGGTGGGATTTATATTCATATATTAGATAGAAATGGAAGTCATCGAAACATCCGCATCGCCACTTGCAAGTGCAGAGCGTTGAGCTCTCCTCTCCTCCGTTCGTTTCTGTAGTTCGGCGATTTCTGCAGTCAATTTGGTCTGAGAGAAGTATGAGTTCACAAGCTTGCAACAGGGGGGCCATACGCACGGTTTTACTCTCCAAATCTGCAGCGTCAAAGATTGACCAAGGTGATTTCCTTTTGGGTGGGTGCTTGTCGCCTGGATTGTCGAAGGGGTGAGCGTGGACAAATAGAGAAATCGGCGAGTTTGACGAACCGAGTGCGGCTTGCATGAAGACTTCATCCATGAACTCATGGTTCCGTTGAAACCTCGTCAAAGCCAGCGTCCTTGTTGAGATCATTTCTTTTTCTAACACACACGTATCAGCCAGAACTACAACTGTTCCTAAAAGTGGACACACCTATCTCTTCGTCCTCATCTGGGTGCACACTGGGTCTTTGCTAGAGAGGGAAGGATTCAGCGTCATCGAGCAATCCTCAAGCCAACAACATAACCACAACCCACAGCGTTCATGCTGCCTCTTGCTCTCTGTTCAGCATTCCGCCTTTCGAGGGCTTCCATCTGTCGGTTCTGCTGAGCTAACATAGATTGTGTCGTCGCTGGGACTGGATATCCCATCCCCATTGGCGGGGGTACACCCTGCGGCCCTGGTGGTTGAAGCGGCGGATGACCTTGATGCGGAGGATGAGGTTGGTTAGGCACCCCTGGCATAGGACCGGGCCCTGGACCCGGGTTTGGTGGAAGTTGTTGGGGTCCGGGTCCACCTGGTCCCACAGGCATCCCACCTCCCATACCGCCGGGCATACCGCCGGGCATACCACCTGGGATGTTCCCCTGCATGCCGGGAGGAATTCCTCCAGGTACGGCACCCGGAATATTTACGACTGGAGGGCCACCAGCTGTCCCTTGCAAAACCTTTTGGCCGACTTTATCTCCAGCGATGTAAACCGCAGGAAGGTTGACAGGTTGGAGAGGGTATGAACGCGTTGGTTGGTTGAGGGCAGGATTCATGGCTATCATTTAGTAGAGCCAAAGGACAGGTACAGATCGCGGTCAAAGGAAAGTGCTCAGAATGTGTTGAGTGTTGGATGGGAACGGGACTTACGCACTGCTTGGCCCCTACTATAGTGCACGAGCGCGAGTTGAGGATTCCCTCCCTTGGTCATACGAAATTTCCGTCGAACGCGATTTGCGATGTTTTCTCCGGAGCCCGGAATGAAACCAAACTTTGCTTCTATCATTTCGACCTCCTGAACGCGTGCAGCACAAGTCAATATTCGACGTGAGTTTGCTCGATGGGGAAGCCCGACGCACTCGACCGTTGCCTGCTGGGATAGCGAACCGTTGCTCGTTTTCTTGAAATCTCATGCCGTCGTTGGGAAATGACAATTGCGAACCGATGAAGATGAGGTACACGGCGCCATCTGTGCGGAACGCGAGATTCGGTTGTCAGAGTGTTTATAACATACGCGAAAGAAACAAGAGAGATGGCGCACCTGATGGCCTGTCAACATACCCCCAGACATACGGAAGCTGCGAAGAGGCGTGGGTCCCTCGAATGAGCAAGTTCACCGCCATCTCCACGGTGAGCGCAGGCTGGGGTGGAATGTCTCCAGAGAACCGAAGACACAGCCCATCTGCAAGCTGCTGTGGTGTCGCCATGGTGGTTGATCGTTCCCTTGCTTATCTGGATGCGAAACAGGCGTTGGAATGAACGAGGCTTTTTTAGTCAGTGTGTGGGGAAGACGTGTGATTAAGGCTGGGCCGCTGAAGGTGGGCAGGGCAATCGGCACATGAGAGAGGATAGAGCGATCATGTCCCGTTAAAGCCGAGCGGTTGACATGGTCGGTTAGCTCAGTTGGTTAGAGCGTGGTGCTAATATGAGGTGGGCTACTAAGCCACTCGGTTACGCCAAGGTCGCGAGTTCGAAACTCGTACTGACCAAGCTTTTTTGGCTCGCCGTCGCTACAGTGTACGCACTGATTTCTGCAAACTGTCAAGCACCTCGTATCCTGTCTACCAACTCCTATTCGTGTCTGGCGGCACGATGGGTGCCTCCATGGGATCACGCAATGAGCCGTCATTTCTCCGCCAGAACCATTCCGCCTTCTCTACGTCACACCTCCATCTACTCGCTCATGAACAAAGTCAAAGACCAACCTTTACCCTCCTATTCTCCCGCTCCGACCCAACAGACTACAAAGGGTAACAAAAGGTTGTGGGCCTTCGCCCTGCTTGCAGGGATGCTTGTGTTTACTGTGAATTTCCGTGGCGTTCTCAAGGCTACAACTTGGAAGCCGTGCGCGGGATTTAGGAAGGGGAGCCTGCACACGAAGCCCAAGTCGCATTTTACACTCCCGTCCGGAGATACGATCCCGAGTGTGGCACTTGGCGAGTCTGCACCCGATATTGCCTCACTGACTTCCCATTTCATATTAATATACGCTCCAGGTGTGTGGCAAGCCGGAGGAAGGGAACTTGGTGAGGCGGTCAAGATTGCTTTAGCTGCCGGTTACCGCCATTTCGATGGTGCTTGGGCATACCGTGTACGTACACTTACAGACCTTGGTTGAAAACGGTGGTTGAAATGTCTGCCCGCAGAATGAACACGATGTCGGAAACGCGATTGTGGAGAGTGGGGTTCCTCGAGAGGATATCTTCATCACGTCCAAAGTACGTGACCTTCGGAAGTTCGGTTTACCCTATCGCTAACGCTCTTCGTAACAGCTGTGGAACTCGTTCCATGCCCCAGAAGATATTGAAGCAAGCCTGGATGAATCATTGTCTCGCCTCCGAACCTCGTACTTGGACCTCTACCTCATTCACTGGTGCGTTTTTGATGTCTCTGTCGCCGTTCCCAGCGATGACAAGGAAAGCTCAACAGGCCGATTGCATTTAAGAAGGAACCCTACCTCAATGGGAGGATCGAGATTGATGAGGCGTTGACTGCAGACCCCTACCCTACGTGGAAGAAACTTGAAGAATTGGTCGACAAAGGCAAGATCAGAAATATCGGTGTCAGCAAGTGAGTCCGCGATCCCCTCGCTACTCTGGTTTGGTGCTGACTGTATTGAAAGCTTCAATGTGTGGAGGTAGGTAGAGGAGAGGAGCATCCACCATTGCCTGACGCCAAACTTGTAGATACGAGAACTTGACTTCCAACCCCCTCAAGTATCGTCCAGCTGTCAACCAGGTCGAACTCAGCTTCGGAAATCCACAACCGGAATTGCTCGCCGTGCGTACCCGTATTCGACCACCTTCCCGATGCCTAATGAAACACTGGCTTCTATAGTGGGCTAAGCTTCACGACGTGCTGCTCGAGGCTTATTCTCCACTCGGAAGCAGCAGACAAGTCAAGGAGACCCTTGAACTGCCGATCGTACGTGCCAAAGATTGCGCTTGGGACTTGCAGCCCATAATCTCTTTTTTCAGATCAAGAAAATTGCGAAAGAGCTTGGGATTACACCCGCTCAGGTCATAATTTCATGGCACGTTCAACGTGGAGTCGTCGTCTTGCCAAAGAGCGTGCACGAGGGTAGGATCCGGGAAAACTTCGAGAGTATGTTTCGTGGTCCACTCTTTTCTTTCTTGCTGCGGGCTGATCACGGCGTGTCCATGTCATAGTTGTGGCCCTGCCGCAGGAAGATTTCGATCTCATTGAACGTGCTGCTGTCTCGAAGGCTCCCCAAAGGGTTATCAATCCAAGGTTCGTGACGAGCTGCTGACCACGATCATTTGCTGAGCTTCTGGAGCGTAGCAAGGAATGGGGCCTCGACTATGACATCTTCGCGTGAACGTCTTGTATGTCCCGGAACTAAGGAGATTACATGCCAACCATCGTTGTCTCTCTTGCTTTTCATGTTTCAAAGTATTTTGTGTTCAGTAGTCTGCATATCTAACCGTTCCCCGGTTCTCAAGTTTTCGCCAAAGAATCCTCATCTGTATTCAGCCTCTAGGATAAACTGAGAGCCCTCGCCCGCTGTACGTACACTACCTTCGTCCCTTCTGTATACAAAACGTGTTGAGACACGATTACGCACGTGCACCACATGTTCGCATCCACCATCGAGGATGCGGACCGCTGAAGCGCTGATGGCTCGCGTGTGACCTTGGTCGCGCTGTCTTTCCATAGAAAGAAACAGGGGGGCTGGCGGCAGAACGAACGATTTCGGAGATTGATGAAATACTTCCGCCACGGATGTTTATGTAAATCGTCAGTGACTTCTTCTGCGGATGGCTGTGCTGCGCCACTAGTCGTCCTAGTATCACTAGTAGTAGTATCAGGTTCAGGCCTTCCCCCGCAGTACGTCCACCACACACCTTCTTCTAACACCTACCACAAACATCGACGATGGCTTCAACTTCCCAGGGAGAGAATGGGCGCAATGGCGTTCGTTCGACGTTGAATGCAGCAGTCGAAGTTATAGGCCTTGCGAAGGATGCCTGCCTCGGTATTCCGCCAGCTCAAGTCGCTTTTGGGATTGCCGGCGCCCTCCTGACCATGATTAGGGTATGTTTTCCCCTTCCCCTGCGATGCTAGTTTCTGACCCACGCTTGTGCAGGATTCATTGGCCAACCAACAGGCTTTCGTTGATCTCGGGCTAGCATGCGCCCGTGTGTGCAAATCTCTTCACTGGGGGCTGAAGGGAAGGCAATTGGGCGATCTCAGCCCGTCAGTGCTGGAGGCGATCGAGGAGTTGACTACGTGTGTTGAGCCAGCATTCTGAACGCTGAACGGTTCGCTCACTAAGCTCTCAATCCAGAACCCTAGCCGGGATCCAGCGCGAGATTGTCGTGCTGGGTAAACGAAACGCGGCCTACCAAGCCTTCCACGCGAATGGCGACAAAGATAAGATTGCCAGGTGGAATCGGGAACTCGACAGGATCCGCCAAATCTTCAGCGTGCGTTCGATTTTGGCATTTGAAAAGAGCCCCCCTCAGATCAAACTGGAAATCAATAATAACATGCTACTCACGGATGAGCATCTCAAGATAATGGCAGGTCCGGAGGATGCCATCGGACCAGGTCAATCAGTGAGTACGCCTTTCTATCCGTCATCGACGAGACGCTGATGGTCCTCGAGACCCAAGACAGGTCAGTGTTTGTGAAAATCAGAGACCCGTCGCTTATCTTTGCGTAGTGGTTCTCTAGGTGAATCTCCTCCCCCGCCCCCCAGGGTTTGTTTTGGACGTGATGAACTGCTTGAGGAGATCGTCGAATTGGCCGAAAACCTCGAACCCGTCGCTCTCATCGGTGCAGGGGGCATCGGGAAAACGTCCATCGCGCTGGCCGTCCTCCACCACGATCGCGTCAAGGACCGGTTTGGCGATAACCGACGTTTCATCCGCTGCGATCAGTTCCCAGCTTCGTACCTCCATTTTCTCGCCCGAATCTCCCAAGTTATTGGTGCAGGCGTCGAAAACCCCGAGGATTTGACTCCCTTGCGACCATTGCTGTCCTCAAGGGAGATGATCCTGTTCCTCGACAATGCTGAATTCATCCTCGACCCGCAGGGGAAGGACTCCCGAAAGATATACACCGTGGTCGAGGAGTTGAGCCGGTTCAAGAACATATGCCTTTGGATCACCTCGCGCATCACCACTGTTCCCCCACACTGCAAGCGTACAGTCGTCCCTAGACTGTCAGCGGAATCAGCATGCGACATCTTCTATGCCATCCACACCAACGGCGGACGATCAGACATTATCAACGAGCTTGTGAGGCAACTAGATTTCCACGCGCTCTCAATCACACTGCTTGCTACCACAGCCGCTCAGAACGTATGGGATCACAATCGATTGGCCAGGGAATGGGACGTGAGCCAAGTGCAGGTACTTCGGACACATCCCAACGAGAGCCTGGCTGCAACCATTGAACTCTCACTCGGCTCCCCGACATTCCGCCAACTCATCCCTTCATCAGGATCCCACCCAATTGAAGTCCCTCCAACGAAATTCCAGAGACTTGCTGCTTCCCCAACATTCAGCAAATTCATCCCTTCTCCGATCCTCTGCAAACTTGATCCTTCTCCAATCCCCCGCAGAATCCCCCCCAGTGCTCGTGAACTGCTTGAAGTCGTCGCATTCTTTCCACAAGGGATCGACGAGAAAAACCTCGACTGGTTATTTCCCACGACCCCCAACAGAAAGAACATCTTCGACAAATTCTGCATGCTCTCTTTGACACACCGAAACAACGGGTTCATCACGATGTTGGCTCCGATCAGAGACTATCTCTGCCCCCCCAATCCGGAATCTTGTCCCCTCCTCTGTGCAACCAAGGATCGTTACTTCAGCCGGTTGTCAGTTCACCTCGATCCTGATGAGCCCGGATTCCGAGAAGCGGAGTGGATCAAGTCTGAGGATGTAAACGTTGAGCATTTGCTCGACGTCTTTACTTCAATTTACCCGAGCGCTTGGGAGGTCTGGGATGTTTGCCATCACTTTGTGGATCACCTCTATTGGCACAAGCCACGGCACACTTTACTGGGGCCGAAGATTGAAGGCCTCCCCGATGATCATCGCTCCAAGGCTGAATGCCTGTTTAGGCTCTCGAAGTTGTTTGGATTGGTCGGAAATCACGCAGAACAAAAGCAACTGCTTATCCATACCTTGACTCTCGAGAGGGAGAAGGGGGATGGTGTTGGGGTTGCTCAGACATTACTGTTCCTATGTGATGTCAATCGGATACTTGGATTATACGCGGAAGGAATAAAGCAAGCAGAAGAAGCATTGAAAATCTACAAACGGCGCAGGAAAACAATCGATCAAGCGCAATGTTTGAATCAGCTCGCTTGGTTGCTGCTCGAGGACAAACAGCTCAACGCTGCAGAAAACGCGGCATCACGTGCGATTGATCTGGAGAAAGGCCAAGAATTCCACCTCTGCGAATCTCATGGTGTCCTTGGCGTGGTATGTCATCGCAGGGGAGAGAAAGAGAAGGC